CTATATATATATATATATATATATATATATATATAAGCAAGGCAGCAAATACGAGAACTATAGGCGGGAGGGTGAGAACAATTAGTTGAAGTAAAAAAACAATGCGTTTAAATTGTGTTACAAATCACCATCTAAAGCATAAAGGCAAAAAAAAAACAGGAACAAGAAGGTACTCGTGTGACTGTAATAAAAACACAATATACAAAAAAAAAACTAAACAATATTCATTTTTGGGGGCAATGCTAATAAAAAATAAAACAACATAATACCCAATGTATACATACACAAATTCCCGTGAACACCCAAAAGGAAAAACTAAATATCTGAATTATAACGTCCCTGTACCAAATGATAAAAGTGATGATAATAATGGATAAATTTAGATCAACAGCCCAAGCAGCGCGGTGAAAAATTTGAAAAAAGTAATTAGACAAAATTCCTCTAACCAGAATACCAAATACAATACAAAAATAAATGTCACATGCTCACCGGATACCAAAAGGAAGCCAGCTAAGAAGGAAATGAAACCAGGGCGTCTATTTTGTGACAAACAAGTCATTTTTTCACGAAAACGAGATAAGTAATTTCCTGGAAAAAAATTTGAAATAATAATAATGATAATATTTTTTTACTTAACTTTCACCCCGCAAACAAAAAAAAAACATTGTAACAAACTTAATTTCATTTGGCATTTTTCATCCTCGCTACGAAAAAGAGGCATATTTCCATGAAAGGTGACGCATTTTTCTAATACACGAGAAAAAAAACAACAACAACCTCAAGACGCACAATACTAAATAAGGAAATGTTCATAACAGAGTATAAAAAAGAAAAATAAACATTCACAACCCGGTGAACGTCAACTGGCATAAAAAAAAACTCCCTCGCTCCGCCGCGGCCAATATGACCCACCGAACGAAAGCACCCCCCCCCCCCCCCCAATAACAACGGCGATGATTCGCAGGGCGAACCAGGCCAACGGCGCCGACGCGTCGGGGCCCGTTGGGAAGTGTCCGCCCCACCACTCCCCCCACTTTTTGAGGGGCGGGACGCGAGCCCCCTTGTCCGTTTGCCTTTTCTTTAAAAAAGTGCGTCTTGTGAAGGGTCGAATTGTTCTTCTCTGTTATAATTATTACTGTCGCTTGCGCGCATTTTTTGGGTCGCCCCTCTCCGTCGCTGGCGTGCGCTGTTTGTCGATGCGGGCGCGCAGGGTCGGGGAATACCTTTTCTTTTGTTTTTGTATTGTCTGGATGCCTGTTTTTATACGTCGATAGCTGCGTCAAAGTGAACGATAAAAAAAAAAGTTAATCTGCGGTTATGTTGGTGCAGCAGTTACTTTCCCTATGTTCTTGTTTTAAGCATGACTTAAAAAATAATATTGCTCTTTGACTTTATTAGCGTTGATTTAGGTGTGGGACATTGTCTAGATGTCTTCCAAGCAAGACCGCATTACGGATGCCATGAAGGAGCGCATTTCTCAGTTAGAATCAGAGCTGTCCCAGTGCAAACATCACCTTAGTGAGGTGTTCCAACAAAAAGAATCGATTGAATGTGATATAGAGGCGTTGCAAAAGGAGGCTCATGATGTCGTCGCCCAGTGGGTTGCAAAATCTACTGATCTGCAAACAAAACTAGATGCGTCAGTGTCGCAAGTTGGGGTTGCAAAAGATGAGTTGCTTCTCAGTAAGAGGAGCAATGAAGTTCTTCAACGCCGTTTGCAAGACGCTGATGAAACAAATCGAGTACAGGCTGAGGAGTTAAGTCATCTACAAAAAGTTCAACACGATCAAGCTGCGAGGTTAGCGGCAATGGAGAAAGATTTTTTCTCTGCATCCCAGCAGAATATTCATTACGAAAATCTTGCAAGCAAGATGGATTTAGAAATGAAACAGGTTGTAGAAGAGATGAGGTCTTTGATACAAGAGAAAAATATACTGATAGACGCTGTAGCTGAGCTTAAAGAAGAAAATCGCAGCTTAGAGGCATCCTGCTGTGAAACAAGGAACTCTATTGGAAAGCTTGAGAATGAGGTAGCTGAGTATAAGCACAGACTGCACCAGGTTTTGGCTATATGGAAGCTTGATCAGGAGGAACGTGGTGTTAGGGAGGAGATTGTTTTTCAATTCGGAGCATTCTGCTTGGGTGTTCTTTGGGATAAGGCAAAAGAAAATATTAATGATAAGGCTTTATTACAAAAGAAACATCAGACCCTTGAGGCAGAGATAGATGTTTTGCGCAAGGAAATCTCCCTTTATGAGACTGAAGTTCAAAAAAAATCTTTTGAATTATCAGTTCTGCATCAGGACCATGATAAAGCAACCAGCAATTTATCTCAACAAATCCGTTTGCTAGAGCAAGACATAACTGAACTTCAAGATTCACAGACAAACCAAAATCAAATTGTAGAATTTTTACATAGGGAGCTTGAAAATTCTACCACCCAAAGCGAGCGTTACAAGTCACTTAACGAGGATTTGTCCACTGAGTTTAAAGCTGTAAAAGAGTCCTACTCTTCATTGCTTCTGGAGTATAACGAACTTAAAGTATGTGAAGAGAGGTCTCAACGAGAGCTGAATGCCAAAATTGCACTTTTGACCGATGAAAATAAAAACATTAGAGTCAATTATGATCTTCGCTTAGAAGAAATTATGAAGGAAAATAGAAGGTTGCTTGAACGCTTGTCATTTACGGAAATGGAGTCTGTTAAACATGCAGAGGTTGAAGCTAGACTAATTGTAAAATTATCTCAAAGCAAAGAATGGTCCATATTGTTATCCGACTACAGTTCTCAATTGGTAAATTGTTTACGGGATAACTATGGGCAAATTCTCTTTTTGAGCAAAGAGGTGGGCTTGAAAGAGTCTCTTTTGCAGGAAAAGAATGAAATGAATTACGTTCTATCTGAGAAGCTAGACGCCTTGGAAAAGAAGGTTTTGTTGAAACAATATGAAATAACACAATTGGAGTCTAAAATGCTGGATTTGTCATCTGAACTTGAAACTTCCACGACAACTTGTAAAGAGGTTACCACTGATAACACTTGGCTTAAAGAGCAAGTGGAGAGTATGCGACATGAGCTAGGTGAACTTGACGAATTATTGAATTTTAATCTCAACGAAATGAGGGAGGAATCTGAAAGGCAACAATTGGAACAAAAAAGACTACTTCAACAGATCCACCGATACGAAGCTCTTCTTCGACAGTCTCAGGAGAAGATTAATTCGCTGGGTGAACATGGTATGATGCTTGCTACTGATAGCGAGGCAATTTCCAAAACACTATTGCTGACAGAGGGTGAGTTGTTGAAAGCCAAGGAGGAGCTTGCAGCCTCACATCAGCGGGAGGAGGCTCTTATGGAACAGAAACGACAAATTGAATCAAATCTTCTGCAGCTCCAAAAGAAACATGTAACTGTGGACAGCCAAACAGCCGTTTTGCAAGAACAGCTACAAACCCAGGAGGCGAAATTACGCCTACTCAGTACATCGTCCCGCCAAGAAATGGAGGCGGTAAAGATAAAGTTAAACAGCTTTATAGAAAAATATGAAGAAGCTGAAGCAAGAGTGAGTGATCTTTCAAAGCGAATAAAAGCCTCTGAAAATATTCAGAGCAATTTACGAGAATCATACCAGAAGGCGAAAGCTGCTTTAGAAGAGGCCAAACAACGCTGTTGCAAGGACACTGAAACGATACAAAAACTGCTAGAGGAACGTCAGAGTCTAGAAAAAGAACGGGATACTATTGTGGAGAAGTACAATCGCGTCTATGACATGTTGAAATCCTTAAAAAAAGACAGTGTAGGGAAATTTGCGGATGAAGCACAAAAATTGTCTGATTTATGTTTCCAACAGGAAGTGGAATTACAGCAACTTCGTCATCAGAACATTATGCTGAAAAGGGGCATCAGAAAACTGCCTGTTGCTTCCAGTGCCGATAACCACATAGAACGTCCAATCTTTGTCGAACGTCTTAATTTAACGGAGGGTCCTCTCCGGTGTCCAAAGAAGCGACCATCATTGAATTAAAACTAGAGATAATTTGAATAGATTTGCTTGATACTAGGTAGAAGAAAAAACAAATGGGTGTGGCAAGTTTTTGGAGAGGTTAGATATATTACAAATAAAACAGGACGAGAGAAAGGAGTAGAGTGATGGCCCTTCTTTTGATCATATATGTTGACTTTATACTTGACGATAATGAAGGTTTTTTTTTTTTGACCCTGTTGGTTTGTCGAACTTTGTTTCATTATATATATATATATATATATATATATATATATATGATG